CTCTGCGGTGCCGGAGGCCCCCTGCCCTCCTCGCACCCAGCGTGGGGCCTTCCCCACACACAGGGCCCTGCAGGGCAGCAGGGACGAGGTCTGAGCCCGCAGCAGCGGGGAGGGCAGGGCTGCCCACCCACACGCCCTGGGTGCTGCATGGGTGCACGTGTGCGTGGTTGCATGGGTGCTGCATGGGTGCACGTGTGCAAGGATCCTGCTGGCAGCCCCGGGACGCCCCCTTGCACAAAGCATCGCCCCAGCGGGTGGCACCGGCGCTGGCAGCGCGGGGCCAGCCTGGCTGCGCGCGGCGCTGCCCAGGCCCTGCGGCACCCGCTGCTCGCAGCCGCCGCCGCAGTCCTGCAGCTCCCTCTGCTGCCATCGCGCCCGCGAGGATGCGGCTGCCTGCGCCGAAACGGCCGGGCTGGGGCTGCCGAGCGGCTTCGCGGCCACCCAGGGGGCCCCAGCAAGGCCCTTGTCCGGAGATGGCAGGTTCGGATCTGTCTCTTGTTCCTCCACGACTTCCAAGCACAGCTCTGAAGCGTGAGCCCAGCCTTTGTGTTAGACACTGGAGACTCCACACTAGGGCTCCAGCTCCAAAAAATATAGGCATTTGTAAACCACAACATTTAGATAAGGTGATTTCTTTCTTTGCCTCTCTCTGAGCACAGACTTGTGTCCACACACGTCCGCTGCAGCTCTCGGGAGCTAAGGCTCCACCAGTCTATTTCTTTTTAAAACTCGACATAAGCAGGTGAATTATCCCCACGGAACACGCTTGCCCCGGGAGGGAAGGCTCGGCGCTCCGGCTGCAGCCTCCCATTGCCCGTGGTGACGGACAAGTGTGAGTTATGGCCCTGTTGGAGAGACAGCGGGTTTGTAAATGCTCCTGTTTGTGCTGTTTTCCGGCCCAACGAGAGCCCATCGATCACAGGGGCAGGAGTAAATCCTGCAAAGGGACAGGCTGAGCTGCACGGCCACCGCGCGCGGCCGGCACTGGCACGTCCTCCCGGGCCCTGCTTGGGTCTTCTCCAGACCTGCTCCCGCGCAGGGCACGCGGGGGGCAGCATGGGGCTCATCTGAGCTCCCCATCACAGTCACAAAGGTCCCCGTGCCAGGGCTCTGGTGCCAGGTGGGTGCCTCATGGCACTCACAGTTGCTTGGCACTTTTGGGGGAGCTCAAGACCAGCTTTTTTACAACCTCAAGCACCTGCTGTGGCACAGCCAGTGCTGAGGCACTTGTGTGAGAGATGGATGAGCTGCTTTGAGGGAATTCTCCCCCAAAAGGCAAGCAAAGAGTGAGACATTTGAATATGGCTCAACCTGAAAGGCCTGGGGACTTGCTCCTTTCCCAGTCCCATGCTGCAGTCCCATGACACCAGCAGCACAGAGTCAAACCCATAGGGTTGCTCAGTGCTAGGGCTGCCAAGGCAGCAGAGGAGGGTTCTCGCAGCACCTTGGGGCTGTGGTGGGCACTAGGACCGCATCAGGTCTCCCCCAAAAAGCTGTTCCCTGGGGCTGTGTTGGTCATGGCTTCTCCAGGAACTGCCCCATAGGAGCTGGCTCTGTGGCACTGCTGGTGACAGGGAGCTGGGCTGAGCCCATGGAGATGCTGCTGTGCTGATGCCAGGGATTGCTTGAGGGCCACCACACTACGGACCATATCATGGTGGCCCTGCCAACGCCTCCGGGTGGAGACCCCCGGTTGGCGGGAATGGAGACCGGGATGCTGAGCAGCAGCGTCGGAGCAACCCACGCTGCGTCCCTCCCTCCCGCAGCCTGCGCAGGGAGCCCTGCGGCTCCGCACGCCCCAGCTCCAGGGACACCCTGCAGGGCCTGTCACCCCCCACCAGCCCCCCAGCAGCCCCTACCTCGTGCTCCGCTCCGTGCCAGCGTCGCCCGGCCATCAATAGCGCTTCCTTAATTAATTTGATGGGAACAGCAGGGACCGCACTTTGCATTTAGTGAACTTCCGAGAACTTCCAACCTCATCTTCATAATTGGCCTCATAAATTTGAGGAAAGAGAGAAATCAGCAAAGGCAGAGGAGCGAGGGAGGGCGGGAGAGGCCCAGCACGCGGGAGGGCGGGCGGGCGCGTGAGAAGTGACTCTATTTGGTGTCCTTATTTAATTTTATTGCACAGATCCATCTTCACCCGCCCCCTCCCTGCCTAGCCCTCTCTCTCCCGCTCTCCCTGCTGGGTTCACCTAATCATGATAAATTCATATTCATTTCCCTGCCTGCTCCGGCAGGGGGGAGCAGCTCTGTTACATTTGCCCGGCCGTGCTGCCATTAGCAAATATTTACTCATGAATATCAAGTGCCACCGGCGGGAGCCGAAACGCCCCTTGGGCAGCCCTTTTCCCCAGCCCGAAGCCCTTTCCCACCCTGGAGCTGGCACAGGGGATGGGCAGGGATGCCCCCAACACCAAGGGACCAGGACAGGGCAGTGCTGCCGGGACGCGCCTGGGCTTTTGCTGTGGTTTTCCTCGGTGCCCTTGGGGTCTTGCCGCAGGCCCCACATGTGCCCCTGCTGCGGAGGGGCACAGGGCAGCGCTGGGGCGCCCGGCCCCGCTGCCCGCCCGCCCCCAGCTCTCATGGTGCAGCTGCATTTGGGTTTATTTCTAATTTTCAGGATGATCAGACGCACAGGCGGGAGGGCAGGAAGGAGGGCGCTGGGGAAGGGGAAGAGCCGGAGCCCTTCCTGGGAAGCAGCAGCCGAGTGGGAGCCCATGAGAGGCGGCTCCAGCCTCCTCGCCCACGGCAGCCCCGGCCTCCTCCGGCGCATCCCGGCCTCCCACCCCTCTGGGCACGGAGCCTTGGCCCTTCCTGCACACATGATGGCCCCTGTGATGTGGCCCGACCCAGCCCCATGGCTCTGTTAAAGGGGCTTGGGGACAATGTGGCAGCAGCAGAGGGGACACATCCCCAGTGATGCCATGGCCCTTACAGAGGGCAGCCCAGGCTCAAGCTCCCCGCAGCCGCCTTCCCTCGTGGAAAAGCTGCAGGAGCAGCAGGGCCGGGGCAGTGCTGGTGCCACAGCAGCCGCTCAGTGCCACGTGTGACCTGGGAGCCCTGGGCTGCTGTGGTCCCCTCACCTCTGGCCTGGTCTCTGCCCATGCTGGGGGCTCCCCTGGCCCCTCTCCTGCTTCTCTGTCTCCTACTGAGGACACAGCTCCTGCGGCTCCTCTCTGTGCATAGAGGCTCCCTGGCTGGGAGCCGGCCCAGCTGAACAGACAGACGTGGTGACCCCAACAGCAGCGGGGCAGAGAACCAAAGGACAGCGATAAAATAAATAAAGAATTTATTTTACTTCCATTTTCAAAGCACCAAGACATTCATCAAGCCCAAAGACATTCATTTCCATCAGGTATCAGGGAGAGCAGTGGGACAGGGGGCCAGGCCAGGCCCTGGCTGGGCAAGGCCAGCAGGAGCCCTGCAGTCCCCCCAACAGCAGATGCCTCAGGGCACCTCTGCCCCCAGGAACCCCTGCAACACCCCTAACAAAATGGAGCACTGAGAGTACCTCCTTGTCTCCAGAAATTCATCTCCAGGATATAAAATTAGTTGAGGCTTTCTGAGGAATCCAAGTAACTCCCCTGGAGCCAAAGGGGTTAGTACAGACACACACACGCACACACTCAACCCCCGTCTCTATCAACAGAGAACAGGTGACCCCCAGCCTTCATAGGTACAAAACAAGGTAAATTTAGCCCAAATTAGAACCACCCTCTCATCTCTTCCTGGCACCCGCAAAACACACAGTCTGGACAGGTACATTCAGTGCTGTTACATTCACACCCCCCAGCACAGCTCCGTGAGCCGCAAGGTTCCCCCGTCCCCTCCTGCATGGAGAGGAAAGGGGCAACAGCCAAGGCCCCGGGTGCTTTCTGCAGTGAGACGCCCGTGGGGCCGGGGGGCAGTGAGCTCAGAGCGCGGTCCCGTGCCTGCCCCAAGCCCCAGGCCACGCAGCGGGACCCACCAAGGGTGCCAGTGGCTCGGATGGAGGGAGGAGGGCAGCGGCACGAGGCAGCGGCACGAGGCGGGGACCTTGCGATCCCCACTGCAGCGTGAAAAGGGGCAGCCCTGCTGCC